ACTGGCCCTTTCTCGCGAGCACGAACTTCTGGCATTCAAGGAGACGCGCTGGTCACATATTGATTGCATTGCGATCAGCTTCAGATGGTGGGGCAGTATACGGGATTGCAGACCGTTTTCGTCCAGCTACCTCGATTCAGATCGCGCTCTGGTCTGTGCAGACATCTGCATGCGCTTTGGTAGTTCCTCGAAATTAAATAATCGTATGATGGATACCAACAGGCTAGCTAGCCCCTCCATTCAACTGACCTATCAACCCTCCTTATCAGATGTGCTCGCTAGTGCTTCACCTACAGATGTCGAACATCACTAGAATTTCTTGCATAAAGCGTTGCTTCCTTCCGGCAAATTGTACTGTGGAATTGTTGAGCGTCCTGTGTAAGGCTGGATCTCTACTCCCTCTTTGGCATCTTCTGACCGTCACCGAGTTATCCCAGCTCTTTCACGCTGCGATGAAGTTCGCCACAACCTCAGCCAACAACTCAAGCAAAGCCTGCGCAACAATCGCGAAACTTGGTCTCAGCGCGCGTCGGAGATGGAGACAGCAGCTCTCTGGAAATTTTCGCAAACTTTTCCAAATCATTCGGACCACTGGCCACAGAAGATCTGGCGTAAATAAAGCTAATTTCGAGGTTGATAGATCAGCGATCACTAATTTACGTAAGTGCAACCATGCCTAATTGCATGCCTTAGAACGTTTCACTGGAACCGCCCACCGAAGCGTAGGTCTATTTTGACCTTCGTCACTTGAAGCGACTCAAAGCTGCTAACTCAGACCGACTTCCCCCGGAGCTGTTCAAGTAATAATGAAATAATAGAACTGAAACAATTAGTTCCCGAGAAAACTCTTTAATTCGGGAAAAATCTTTCCATATTTTCAAGTGCTTACTACAGGTGTGTGAGTTTATAGCATCATGCGTGGAGCCCAGTTAAAATGGCAAATTAACCAAACTGAACAGACCTACATTCATGTCACCTTGTCACCTGTTCCGGCCTGCTACCAAGGCAGGGCCAGGGTCACAAATGCGTCTTTCTGAACACACAGAGTTGGGCCAAGTTGTCCGATGGCTACGGCCTCAGCATATCGTAAAGTTAGGGGGCTCATTGATGTATAGATAACACGGAACGCACGCACGGAGTGTACACAGCGGTTGTCAGCCAGCAAGTGGCGAGCGGTTGATGAAGCTGGTTGTTTATATGGAACTTCATTTTGCTTCATTGACTGCGAATTCGAGGTGGTGGACGTAGCCATCTGCGAACCGTGTTTAGTCACTCACACCGGTATGTGCTCCGCGACCCTCACCCTCAATTGTCCTGTAATACCCACGTATTCGGCCTTGCAAATGCATGTAAATTGGTAAAGGATGTGTGAACCGCTAGACAACGACAGCGGGGATTTAACCGACGGAGTACGGATACGATACGTTTTGTAGATTGGTACTGGTTCCGCCGCAGGATATACGCGCGCCACTGCGGATTTCAATCGGCGCTGAAAAACCTGGCATACGTCGTCGCCTTTGAATGGCATTTGCAGGGTTATCTTCATCTTCGGTACCTTGGCACACATTTTTTCCACTTTCTCAGCCCTAAACTGAGCGATGAAAGAGTGGGTACCCATTGTCTACGAGAGTACTGGTTATCAGCCGCATCTCTTGTCCCAGCGTGTCAGCATTGCATATTTTGCTAGCTCTGTTGAACAAAGTGTTCATCAGACCTTGTTTGTACCGCTTGGGGACAAAGTGGTAGAAGTTTAAGTACTGCCCCTTCCACGTTGGCTTACGATAAACTGATCTGCTTACTGAGCCGTCACTCTTACGCTCTATCAGGATGTCAAGGAACAGCAGCGTATCATGCTGTTCGCGCTCCGTTGTCACTCTAATGTTTCGATGTAAGCCATTCAACTTAGTAACCAGTTGGGCCAAATGATACTTGCACCAGTAAACACCCTAACTTTACCATATGCTGAGGCCATAGCCATCGAACGACTTGGCCCAACTCTGTGTGTGCAGAAAGATGCATTTGTGACCCTGGCCCTATCGTGGTAGCAGCTCGGGAACAGATGACAGGAATGTAGGTTTGTTCAGTTTGGTTAATTTGCCATTTTAACTGGGCAGTTAAAAATATGCAGAAAAAATTTTCCGAAATTAATTGTGCGGCACTTTTGTGTCAAAGTTTCTGCTAAAGTTTAATAACAGTACTAATGTGTCAGCTGTACTCCTCAACGACGCTTCGCTGCGACCCGACCACCACCGATCGCGCGCGGACTGAGTATACCGGTAGGACGCTTACCCCTACGCGGATTCGGACAGGGAACCTTATGGTTGCAATCCAGGTGAGCAGACCACTCGGCCACAGACCGAGGCGAAGAGATTATCAGCCAGTTAACAGCTCTGTTCTTCAACATCTGGTGTGAAGAAAAAAGTTCCATCATCTTGGGGCGAGTCGGTTATCGTATCCGCCTTCAAAAAGGTTGCTCCTACCTCATGCGCCAACAACATATAAACGTGTCTGATATCCGTCGTCTCCAAATGGCGAACACTGCGCGGCTAACCGAATAGGCTGGTTTCCGCCCCAGTCGAGGGTGTGTGTACCACATGTATTCGCTCCGCCAACTCCTCGAGCAGCGCAAACTTTATTACCAGCCTACCATTGTCGCCTTTTTGGACATCCTATTTGAGTTCGATTCGGTCGATCGGTCTGCTTTATGGCGTTGTATGCAAAGGAATGCGGTACCCAAAAAGTATATTGCTTTACACAACAACGTCTCTGGCAGGGTGAGGGCTTAACGGTAAGCTCTCTTCAGCTTTCGCCATCACTAGCAGTGTGCGACATGGATTTCTATATCCCCGTTTCTCCTCAACTTTGCGATTGAGAGTGTTCTATTAAGCGCTCTGGAAGGTCTCCAGGGTTCTTGCATAGAGCTTCTTCCAGACAACCGCTGTATTGATGATATTGACTTGCTCGGTGACAACGCACATATTATGCCGGTCATTCTAAACCGCTTGGTGATTGAAACTACCAAGTGTGATATTACCAACGTTTCATCGAAATGCAAAGTCCTACTTCATGATTGATATCCACCTGTCCCCGTGCTGATTCTTTGTAACATCAAGATCAGGAATGTTCCCATCAGGAACATTCAGGTCTACACGACGCAACTACCTACCTCCCCATTGGATAGCGGAACTGAACTACCAATCAGGGCAGGTGACCCAGCTGTTCTGAAACGCAAATCTTCTATGATAGACCAATAAATATTCACTGATTTCCACACTACTTGTATCCGTTTCGCTAGCTGGTTCCGATAAACGTTTTTCCTCCAAACGTTGATTTCTGATTTCCGGCTGGGATTCGGAGCAAGCAGTTAACGAGTTCAGTCCAACCGGAATCGTGCAGACAAAGATAGATCATAACATTCTTGAAGGCGTGCAGCTTGAACAAGTAAATAGCTTCACGAACCTTAGGAGCTGCGTTTCTTCTTATGACATTATTGATAAATTTCTCTCCATATTGCCAAGGCCCGATCAGCTTCCGTTTGTCTGAGGCATGTGTGGCGTCGTCATGACGTTTCACTCTCGGTAAAAGACATGATCTACTGTACCTGTGTTCGCGCGGTCCTCTTGCACGGGGGCGAGTCCTGGCTGATCCCTGTAAATGATTTACGCTGGATTTCGGCCTCTGACAACGGTTGTCTGCGGAGGATAGCTCGTGTGTGGTGGGAACACCATGTTTGCAACGATGGTGTTAGCCTTGGTGTCCTAGGTAATACGGGTCTCCCCCTCGACAAGCTAATACCTCTGTGCCAACTGAGGTGGCTAGGTCACCTCTTGCGCATGCCGTGCGAGCGTTTACCACGGCGCGCTCTTCGCTCGCCCGAGGCCGCACTGGAAGAAATCGCACGGTGGCTAACTTACCACATGGCAACAAAACGTCAAGGCACTGACTTCCAGTTTAGCTATTGTTAGTCCCGTACGTTTGGGCTGAGGAATCAGAGATGATAAACATTGCTGGTTTGAGACTATTGTGGGTATGGCGCATAATCGCGGACAATGGAAGGTTTGCCTGAGTCTGCATTGATTCTACTGATCAGCACCGTAATGATAACACAGACAAAGAAAGACAAAACGGCGTGTTAAAGACAAAAACTCTTTGTGTATATTTTATTGACCTTTGTGCTTATTGTTCACATTTATCCCATAGTTTTCTGATGTCTATTGTATAGACAGTTTATATATATATATATATATATATATATATATATATATATATATATATATATATATATATATATATATATATATATATATATTGAAGGGCGTTTAGCACAGCAAGAGGCTCCCTCCAACATACCCTCCAAGTTTGGACAGCATGACAAATGGATGCGATTAACTGAATCAACTCGACCTATCAAATTACTATATGGTGGTAGACTAACAATTTTGCCATTGTTTCAGCACCCTGTGTGCTTTAGGCAGTCGGTGAATGCTGTTGCTGACTAGCGGGTCATCGGAATTTAAGTATGAACAGTTTGCACCACAACGCCTATTAGATCGTCATTCCCGTGTTTGCCTGCTTTTTTGCTAATGAAATTTTTCTCGTTTCTTCGTTTTCTTCCTCTCTTTGATTATTCATACTTTTATTTAGTCCGTCTTGCGTCACACTTTATTAGTGTCCCAGGTACTTACGAACTTTGGCTCTTGTAGTTTGCTTCAGAACTCCTGGTGCCGTCCACCAGTACCTCTCAAACTGACTTCTCGTTTTGCCACTGCTTGTCCCTGCTATCATGTAAAAATATCGGTGTCGTTTTGGCATAATGATAAATGTCATTTTGTTCACACAAACCGCAAAGTACCTACGCATATTCTTAGTTCGTGTTTGTCTCGATACATTTCTTGTTTCATTGCCATTCTGATTTATTCCGTTTCTCACTCGTGTCCTTTCTTCCCATGCATAGCGCAACATACCCAATACTTTTCTGTCTCTTCTTTCAGCCGATTTGGAGTTTTCTGTCACCTACATCTCCGTCGACTACTTGGGTGACTGCTATGCGTGACAAACTGCCTCGGTTTTCATCGCATCCAATTGTTTCGGTGATCGGCTACCCTGGATCGAAACTCAATCGGTGTCATGTCGGGAAGTCATGTTTAATCCACCGGTTCCTCTCACACACACCTTACCGTGAAGATCATTTATCGATACTAGATTTCTCTGAATTCGATTCCGAAGTTGTTGCTGGTTCGCACTGGTTATTCTGGGGTTATTCGGACGTTTTTCTTTTCGATGATGTTGCTGCTCGAGTGCAAATAATCGAACAATGCGAATTCATAGATGATCATCTTTTCGCTCCATTTATGTCCAACCGGATCTATCGTGAAAGGTGCACCTCACGAACGTTGACCTTGAGCACTCGCAAGCTGGCTTATATTTGTAAAGACCAGTTAGGTCATGAAGAGTCGTTTGCGCGTTATTACCTTGAACCGGGATGCTATGGTGTTTCCGCCTTCATTTGTGTTTACGATGTTACTCTATCCGGTTCACCGGCCTTCCACCAAGCCGTGTTTCTTCGATACGTCCTTCACGAGCTATCTTCTGCTAACGTGCCTCTCGTATTGGTTACGTCGAAACACGATTCTGGACCATCGGAAAGTGCCATTTCCCTCTTGGAATCTTCACTGAAAGGCATTAGCAATCGCTGGTTAAAAAGAAACTTCTGTATAGTAGAAACTTCTTCCAGAAGGAATGTGAATGTTGACAAGGCCTTCTATTATGCCACTGCTGCTGCGTCTGGTTGTCTTTACGAGATCAAACGTGGCAGTAGATTCCACTTCAATAACGCGGACCGACTGCTTCGAAGCGTCCTACTCCGCCTCCTACACTTTTCCAGGTTGGTGATTCAAATTCCGACACGTGTTTGCAGACTGTTTTAGCCCTCCTTCGTCTCTCCTGTGTCCTTAGAAAATTGTTAGATTCTCCTATTTGTGTTTGAACTAGCATCGCTTTGTTAAGAATGTATAATAACTAATTTAACTGTTCCCAGGATGCGATTTTGTAAGGTCAAAATCACATTAGTAAGCAGTTCCATTGTTACTCATAACGCAGTTTTATTTGCATCGTAGAAGTCTTACTACCGTGTTACTTTTACAGCTTTGGAAGCTAAATGATCATCAGTGTGACTCTGTATTCTAAACATTTGAATGTCTTTAGACCTCAGCCAAGTTTCACCTCGAAATATTGATTGACTGCTCAGTTTAGTCCAACGATCTGTCACCTTTCATCTTTAACTTCGCCATTGATGACGTCTTGGAGACTGCGTGCACTGGACACGACCTATAAGGCGTAGAGCTGCTCCCAGGTGGTCGACTTATTGACTTAGAGTACGCCGATGGATGTCCTTATCTGCAACAGCTCCAAGACGTGTCAAGTAGTACTGGACAAATTAGCATTGGCTGTCAGTCGTTTCGGATTGTGCTTTGCACCGTCGAATTGCAAAGTCCATCTCCAAGATTATCAGCGACCCATCCACGCGCTGACCCTTGGTGATGATCAGCTAGAAGTCGCCGAGAAATCCAAGTATTTGAGGAGCTATATCAGCTGCTGGAGGCGCTTTTGCCAATCTCCGCCATCTGTGGCACCGGCTTGACATTCCTCTCGCATTGCAGAGCAGAGTTTACAATGCGGCCGTCCGTTCAACCCTCCTGTACGGTTGTGAAACCTGGCCCACCAACTCGACAAACTTAAAGAGACTTGTTACCTTCGATCATCGCTGCCTTCACAGCCTAGCTCATGTCTTGTGGGAACATCGCATGAGCAGTGAGCGCTTTCGTGGTCTCAAATTTGGTGCGGTCAGGGCGATTGAACCGCTTAGCATCGTTATTTTTCATGCACCAGTCTCCAATGGCTTGGCCACTTGTTGCGCATGACGGCACACCGACTCCCGCGACGTATGTTATTTGCGCGACCGGGGCGTGGATGGAACAAAAGGAGGGGAGGCCAAGTGATGACTTGACCATGAGGGATGAAAACCCTCACTTCAAAGTTGGCGTCGGTTGGTGTGTCCCAATTGCCTGGCTGGGGTCCGAAGGACGATGAACATGCCTGGTTGGATACACTAGTTGACTTAGCAGGGAGCCCACCTCAGTGGCGTTTGTGTTGCGAGTTTCTTTGTCCCTTCATATCCCGTTTATCTTCCCCCTCCAACCGCTGTCTTGAAGCATACTCTGTCACTAAGTAGTGTGTTATGTTTTTTATTCTATACTTTTTAGTATCTCGATTTTTCATATATCTTATCTTCTTGTATTGCGACATAATAGTTGAAGGGTGCTTCTGACTTTCTGCTAATGAGTAATTTATGATGATGCTTAGTTTTGTGTGTTACGCTATTCTTAGCTTGGTCATCACTTGACCATTCTGATACAAACCCGAACGCGCTTGTGGTCTTGCCGATGGATGAAGGCTCATGGTAACGTCGTAACTTTCATATGTGCTGTAGGAGTTTACGACTTTATATATATATATATATATATATATATATATATATATATTTGAATACCTATATATTTACATATGTTAATAATCCTTTGGACAATTGGCCTAGGTTATCCCAAAATAACAAAGCTTATCAGGATAGCATTGGCCACCAAAACATTAACATAATGCATGATAAATTGGTTTGGATAACATAAAATATGTTTACTATTACTTATTCACTAGACAACGCAGAGGGTTAAACTTACGCTGTCCTAAAAACTTGATTCACAGTTGAAAGTATACTGTATGTTAAACATACGTCATGACACCGGCCATCTTTGTTAAATGGTATACTCAGGACTGAATATTCCAGTCCAGCATAAAATGATTACAAATAAATGAAAATTACTTTTCAACACATGAAATCAATTTTGCCACACACAAGATAATGAGAATAAGTGTAATCCACACTTTATAATTTTTATGTTGGCCTAAAGTTACCTCAAGAGGCCAACTTTACCCCATTTTCGGTATTCTACTTTCCCCTTGTGTAAGCTTTATTTTCACACACCAGTTTTGAAGATATTTGTTAGGCTCTTACCTAATGGTAAACACTGTTAAATCATGCTGTATACTTTTCTCAAAATTAATCGTTTTTTGCGAACAATCAATCTTCGCCTACTTCTTTATCTAGTCATAAACATAACTGAACAGTTCACCTTAGAACTGGTTACTCGACGATTGGACAGGCGCTCAAACTCTTGATTACGACCTGTGCAAGTAATGGATACATTTGAAGCATTGTGTTCCCTGTATTAACTTGAATAACTCAATAGCTAAATAAATGGTATATTCTCGATGGAACGATAGAACACTAAGAAGACGTATGTTGCAAGATGATACTATTTCGTGCCCTCTGATCACTTGCAAACGAGTAACATATCAAATGATAACGTGACAAAAATTAAATAAGTTTAAATCGGTAAGTCACATGCAAAGGTAATGGAACGGTGGCTACCATTTGAGAGTGTATCACAAGGGACTTATCCTTACTCTGCTATGGCCACTGCCTCACAAACTTGAGGAATCTGGCGTTTCTGTTACGATAGGTGACATTAAGCGCCGATTTAGGGTCGACTTGATGACCCATTTACAAGTAGAGAGCACGAATTGGTACCATCTTGCAACTTGCGTCTTCTTAATATGTACATGTAAATGGGGAGTGATGCGTGTCTGTGTATGTAGATGAGGGAGGAGATGATTCACACATAAACGACCAGAGTCAGTCCTGGCAACGGATCCGTGGAAACTCACTGTGCGAGGTAAACGCTAGGAGGCGGGACAAACATGAACACGCACATCCGCAGAGAACATGCTGTATCGTAAGACGCCTGCAGAGCCACAACATGCAGTGATTGCTGGTCAGAAGAATCTTCAACGGATCACGAGCAATGCTGTTCTTCAGCGAAACAAATATCCCTACTTCCTCAACACAGATCACGGCCAGAAATCAGTTCAGGGTTAAGAATTCGTTTCGTTAAACTCCAGACCCAAATGTTGACATGATGCTGATGGTTTGCGGAAAGCGTCAAGTCGTGCTGGGATTGATTTCTAAGCTGTTTGAACGGTCAAAATCAATGACTTAAGACGACTATAGATAATAAGTCAAGTGCACTAAAGGAACATTAATTCATAAACTGCAGTAGTCCAAAGTAAATAGATAAGGTAACAAAGAGATAACTAAGTGAAAATGTCAGTTGGTCACGGTATTTCTACTGGCCATATGAATCGTCTTTGTATACATAATTCCGGCTTCAGTTGGTGGATGTAAATAGCCTCAGCATTAGGCAAGATATACTTTCCGAATCCTTGCGCGAAGCGTTCTGGTAGTGAGTAGATGACTTTAAAGTCATTCTCAGATGTTGTATGGCCACATTCAAGGAGGTACGACAAACATTCCGCTGCTCGAAACGGTGGATTACGTGTGCGAGCTGACCCGGCAACTGCCAATATGCGCAACTTTTCCGGAGGATTTACTAAAAGAGACACTACTTTGCTGCACATTGCTTGTTCAGTGCACATTCGGTGGTGAGATCTACCGTCAGATTGATGTAATGGCCATGAGATCTCCTTTGGGGTTATTAATGGCTTATACCTTTATGGCGATATTAGAACATGACCCACTCAGAACGCACATTGTAACGCTGCCCTCGCCTCTGCTGTCTGCGCTGCCAACCCAGCCGGGGAAGAAACAAAACACCGAGTCTTGCTAGACCAAAGTGTCTTAGGAACACGAAAAGGAAGAGAGTTCCTCGAAGCATGGTACTCGACGCAGCATTCGATAAACCTGCACCTCGAGATTGGCCCAGTGTACCAAACGTTAAGACGGAGAGAACTAAAACACTTTAAAAAACCGTCGTGCGCAGCTAAACGAGCCATCAACATCACAACCACAACAGCCGGGGCAAAACCATCCCACGGATTACCTGTGTCTATCAGCGTTGAGCAAACCGATATAGATCACGTGGCACAGATCGAAGAGATCAATTCAAAAGTCACTTGCTGATCGATCACAAATCGACGAACAAGTCAGCGGTTTACACTTGACCAAGCAATGCACTGACCAAGTCACCTCGTTTGGTGATGAAACGTCTGCATACCAATTACGAAGCTCGACGCACAGATGGACTCAGGAAGGACACGGTTAATTTTGTAGGTCATATGCTATCATTTCTGGCTGCATGTTTCTGAACTGACGCACGTCACTTGTCTGGACTGATTCCAAACCTGCTAGCGGTGCGCACTGGCCAGCTCTACTCGCATTCACTCACGCCTGTCCCGTTGCAACCTATGTCATGTTGACGGACTGATTTCACCAGTTTCCCGCTTGATTTAGCCGTGCTCCCGCCGGCCGGGTAGCATCTCGTGTTGTGATGACAAACTGATTTCATCGGCTTTCCGCGTGACTTGCCGGAGGCCCACTTTACGTCTCGAAGCCGTGTCACCTTCTTAGGTTGCGGTCTCCGATTATAACCCCTAAAAGATAGTTTGTCTTCGTTGGCCCGTTCGATGCTCGTTTATCATTACTCGTGCTCCTGTGATGCACGATACCTGGGTCATCATAGTCATCAACAACAGTACATCAGCCATCTGAACTGATGCTTTGCTGCCATACAACCATGATGACTTATGGAATAAAGAATAAGAAGTGGGAAAGAAGGGGGACTTACCTGAAAACCTTAATGCCCTAAGCAAACATTCAAGGTTAAGGCACCCACACCATGTGTCAGCAACATACGGTCACAAACAGCTGGCTATCGTGTAAAAATAAGGCGGCATCGACGAGACAGCTTCCTTGCGGCTTTCTCTGCCCCGCGTCATAATCAGCCATTACCCCACAGATAACTCAGCACCAAA